CCCCCATCGCCCAACCCCTTCACCCAGATAGAGCTCGCTTCCCGCTGTATCCAAGTTCGGGACTTCCAGACCTTGTCCCGCTAAACCCAAGTGACCAAGCATAAAAGTAATTAATTTCATAGTGTAGCGACTTAGGCCTAGTTACACGACATCTGCGTGCAAAACTAGTCCAGTTAAACTACTGTTGTTTTATATGCGCACAGGCGTACTAGATCTAGAATCTAGATCTATAAGTAGGCTCTTTGTAAAATAACTAACTTTAACGACCTAAAGAACTTTAAATTCGTCTGTGCTTAGTTCACGACCCGACATTCTAGATATCTAGACTCTAGTAGTCTAGTCTATTTTCGTTCAGCCCAAGCGACCTTTAGAGGGCAATAGGCTGTTTTAATTAAGATAAACCTGTCATGTTCACTCACCATGAGCGTTTCGTCATTATGCCCTTCGAACAAATTCTTGGCTGTGCAACTTTTCAGCGACTCGAAACTGGAGACTTACTTTCTTTTCGTAACACAGGTTCAACCAACACAACACAGTCCTAGGCCTAGCCTAGTTAAACGATTGAGTCACTTCCCCTTGTCCTAGTTTGCGATTCCAGCCAATTGCAGGTACTGTTAGATATCCGAAGGAAATCGCGTTCCTTCAGCTAACGGTCCAATCAGGGAAAGCGTTTACCCCGCGTAAAGTCAAAGCATTGTGTCCTTTGGAGGTGGGTACCCGTGTTTATTTACGTTTTTGCACCTAAACATGCTTTTATTTGGATTGGTCACTTATTTTATCCTGTTCTATGGTTGTTGTGGAATCTGACGGATACATGTTTTGAACTGACCATCAGGTGAATTCTCGGAGAAAAATCGTGGAAAATATGGAATTGAAACGGATGTTGTCGCTTCGCCATGGCGGCCATGCTGGAAGTGTGGAATGTACGAAGAGAACGAAAACGACATAATATTTATTTGCAGAATTGCGACTCTCCGACGCCCTTGAAGATTCTTATCATTGAATTAATTTTGTTTTGGTTGTCAATTAATATTTGGCAAATTATGAGTGTGTTTACTTTCGTGATTGTGTAACTAATTGCATAATTTGTTAGTCGCATTCAATGGCTCCCGTTCGTTTCAGCAGTCCGATGCCGATGTCAAGAAGCGCTAATAGAACCGATGGCAGCTTTGTTTGTCAGAGCCACACGAGTGCTCTTCCAAACGTGGAAGTTACATCATTCCATCTCAACCGATATGAGCGCAACTGAAAAGTTGATTTGG